GCTGGACGTCTTTCGCACGCGATTCTCACCTCAAACGGTAGTTTCTTGTACATCCTATAGTAAATGTTTGGTGAAAAGAAGCCCCTGCAAAGTCTCTGCTTCAGATGGAAACAGATAGAAACACCATGAGCGGTCCAGTATGCTTTACTAATTAGTCAAACCCTCACCACATTGGAAGCATCAGACCCTTTGTAAAGAACATGTTAGAAGCTAAGTCACAGTCCTTGCAAAAAAAAAGTCTTTCCATTTGCTTGTGATAGACTCTACGCATTGATGGGCTATTTGGCTATTTGGCAAGCTGGCAACCCCCGGGTTGCTTCAAGGACTTGGAGGGGGTAGCTAGTGGACCGAACAAAACAGCTCCAGACCTGTCGACTCCTTTGAGGCTTGAGGTTGACGAGCCTGAGCCTGGGAACCGGAGAAACCAGACAGCTTGCTTGTGGATGTTCACAACCTGATTCAGAGGTTGATGCATCATCAATTTGAATTGCTCCTGCCGCCGCTTTCGCTTTCCGCAATCTGCTCAACAGATGGCAGTCGCACGCAGATGGACCTTAACCGGGCGACTCGCCAAGTCGACAAAGATGCAGTCCAGCATCTACGAACAGATTGTGTAGTAGATACATGTAGATTCGATGTAGGTGCAAACCCACCGGTCGTGCGGAACTACTGGGTGTTTCAGGTTCATTTGCTTAGCTCTGTGGCCAACGTTGCCATGGGTTCCATTCCCTCGGCGGTGAAGACGGTTTTCACGCCGAGACCTTTTAAATGATTGGCCGCTGCCCAGCTGGCATGGCCACGATAGGATGGCACACTCCACTCCACTCGATCCAGCGAGGGCATTGTGAAGGGAGGCATTGGCAGTCACTCTGCCACACTTCTTCGCATGCATGAAGGACAACTGTTTTTAGAAGCCATTTGGTTGTTAGCTTGCAGAGGACTGCTAAACTTAGCACAGTGGAGGTTCACCTGATCTTTGCAAGTGTTATTTGTAGAGGAACTCAGGGAAAAGACATGGTTTGGGAACCCAGCTCGAAGGACGAACCACCCAAGTTCTGTAATCTCTCATCTAGATACAAGCCCCCAACAAGCTCTGGTTTAATTATATAGTTGGTTTCCTTGTTCACAAACTAAGGTTCCAGTCAAAAGAGATATTTTTGGTCAGAACCAGGGATGGGTCCACTTCAACTGAGGAGGTGGAACATGTATATACCATTAAGATGAAAGAAAAGCAGACACCAAAGATGGTGCTTCCAAGGTGGGCCAGGGCAGAGCATGAGGTGCAGAGGGTGTTTGTCAAAGATTTGGCAGGTGGGGCCAAGAAGTACCTGGTAGCCAAGCAGCACAAGTTTGTGCTCAAGGAGGACAGGCATGCAGAGGTTGGCCCTCGCACTGCCATCCAGCGCTCCACACCATGCCCCAAGAGAGACTTCAGTCTGTACTATGTCACAGAGGACAGATGGGGCAATGAAATCCACACCAAAGAGGTGCCTTGAATGGAAAGGGTTGGTTCATAGTGCCCTGCCTTTGAAGCTTTCTAGACTGCCTTTGAAGCTTTCTAGATTGTCTTTGAAGCTTACTAGACAGTCTTTGAAGCTTACTAGACTGCCTTTGAACCTTTCTAGATTGTCTTCTTTGAAGCTTCCTAGACTGTGGTTGACTTTAAAGCTTTGTAAACTTTTTTGAAGCTTACTAGACTTTCTTTGAGGCTTACTAGACTGTCTTTGAAGCTTTCTAGACCGTTTTTAAAGCTCTGTAGACTTTCTTTGAAGCTTTGTAGATTTTCTTTGAAGCTTACCAGACTGCCTTTGAAGCTTTCTAGACTGTCTTT